CTGTTCATTTTAGCTTATAATTCACTTATTCACCAGCCTTGCTTTCATGATTTCATAAACAGGCAAAACACCCACCCTCCTGCCTCCAACCAGGCTTTTCTTCACTTTAGCATACAGGAACTCTAGCAGCTTCAGCCCAAACTTTTTTCCCCTCATGGACCTCTACCCTAGTTTTAACCCAGGACAAGAAGCAACATAGAAGACACAGAGAAGCCTGCCGTATTTTTCTGCTTTTCATTGCCAGACTGGACTTTCTATAATGAAAATACATAATTGGGCAAGTACATGATAGTGTCAACCAAGGCAAAGGTGCTAAATGTTCAACTATAATATTCCTGTCACATAGCAGCTCAGAAATGTACGGAACAGGTCATCTACTCCACAGTTTACAACTAAAACATGAAATAATATATATAAATTACATTCTTCCATTTAGCCCTATAATCATTGCTTAATAGCATGCTAAGGAAATTGTTAAATTGCAGAAATATTTTCAATTCTTCTGCTTTCTGTGGTACCCATGCCGTTCCATATCTGTGGGATGTGTTTTTAGAAAATTCTGGTGCATAAACCTGGTCATTGTATTTCCCCATGGTTTTCAACATGAAGCAGAACCTATAAGGTATGATTAAATCCAATGTAATTAAGTATCCACCCTATACAAGATTTCAAGGTACAGGACAGTCATCCATAATGTCACATATAAATCAATATGAGCATTCAGTTCAAAGTCAAGTGTAAGATTATTTTAATCTTTTTTAAAAAGAAAAGGTCCCAGTATTGCAAACCACCAATTAAGTTGGTCACCTCTACTCTTACAAGCACTTCCTATAGAATATTTTTGGACTATTGGCAAGGACCAGATTTCTACAAGGGCATTGCCTTAATGAAAGAGGAAAGGAAAGTTAGTCAAAAAGGGAAGGCAAAAACATAAAACATTTTTTGAAAAAGAGCTTTCTGCAGGTGGTACTCCAACTTGCAATAAGTGCCTTTAAGGGAATCTTCATGTCGTAAACAAAGCTGTTGATACTACAAAAGAGCAAAACACAATCCATCTGACATTCCCAGGACAAAGGCAGAGAATTACTTATAAGAGCCCTAATATATTTTATGGCTTTGAAAGATGTGTTTGGATTTGAACTAGGCACTTTTTTTTAATTGTTATATACAGATCAAGGGTGATTTGTTGACAGATGGAACTTGACTTCTGAGGTCAAACAGTAGGCCCAAAGGAGATGAAAGGTAGCTCAGCTGATATTGACCCTGCTCCCACCCGGACAGGGCAGATTTCTTTGGCTTTTTTGCAGGCTGTGGGAGGCAGGCTTGGATCACTTCTGTTTTCCTGGGAAGAAAACATTTTCTATTTTTATGGGGCTTTTATGGGTAAGAGTGACTGTTTCATGCATACCTTTCAGCAGCAAAATAATTGATCTCTTAATCTGTATCTGTAAATGATAATACTTGTGTGTGCAGATTAGGCTAGTTTTAAACTAGCACACTTAGTTTATGATGTTTTTGTCTGTGAATCTTGTGACTCTGTTGTTGTATGTTATTTTTATAATCCAATAAAAATGGTGTATCACTCTACCATTAAAATTTCAATAATTTTTACAGTAATTCTGTATTTGTTCTGATATTTGCTCAGTAAGTACTACAAATATTTTAGAAGTAAAGTAACATTTCCTTATGTAAACCGCAAATTTCCTACAGAAACAACATAATAGCGTGGCACAGACATGCAACATGAATCATTTAGTGTATTAAAATTTTACGGTACAATCATGCATTATTCTGCATAACAGAAATGGATGAATAGATATAGTATTTCATTTTTAAAGCTTCAGACACAAACATACACAGAAATCAACCAAGAACTTCATAAAAATAATAAATGGAACAGCAGAATTTACATGCAAGAAATTACTTTCTAAGATCCTTCAAATTTTATTATATTCAATAATAAACTAAAAAAAATTTACTGTCACCTTAATTTTTTTGTAGTCTCCTTAAAAGTCAAGGTTCTTCTAATTTAACTTCAGGGACTGCTCTAAGCAATTTAGAGTGGATTCTTCAAGTACTTTAAATTTTAATCTGACATTGCTCTGATGGAGCATTTGGAAAATTAAGTCTTTATTATTCAGAAAAAGGATCACCTGAACTCTGAACTAAGTGCATCATTATATTTTCATTACAGTACAAAACCAATCATGTAACTTCCTATGATCAATAATCATTAGGTATTTCAAAAAGCTCAGCTTTCAAAACACGAAGAAATGTGAGCCAAATTCTGTTCACATGTCATTCACACAGGTGAATACCTGTGAACTCATTTGCTATAGTGTACGCAGGATTTGCACCCCTTCCATATCATCTCCACTTTGGTACACAAATGTGTATAAGCATAACGTATTTCTATCCCTTGCTGTATTTTAAAAACATTAGATTCAGCAATAAATGAAAGTCTTGGAGTTGATACCTATGTGACAGAAAAAATACATTCCACTAAAAAAAAAAAAAAAAGTGCTATATTACCACATGGGCTAGAAGAGGTCTACTCAGAGATTGACTGTTATTTCTCTGACACATGTAAACAAAAGAGCATTAAAGCTTCAGTTTTTTAAGATTAGATTGCCATCTGGGTTTTTATAACTATTTTTCTCAAACAAAACAAAAAGGGCAAGGAAACATTCTATTAAATAAAGTATAATAACGATTTGCAGTACAAAAAAATGTTTGAAGTAACTGCTATTATGCCAAGTCAAAGAACAAAGGTGAAATCTTGGCCCTGTGGAATCCAAAGAATATGTCACCATTAACTTCAATCAAATCAAGATTTCATTTCAAGATCTTAGGTGGTTTGGGGAGAGAAGAGGATCTCTACTTATATATATATATATATATATAAAAGTCAACATTTAACAATGCTAAGTAGAAGAAAGAAGATGAGCAAGAAAAGTTTATTTAACAAAACGTGTCTCATGGATATAGTATGATTGCTGCGTGGTGCCAAAGGAAAAAAATCTTGCATCCATTATTTCAGAACTGCCAACCAGCTGGCCTTCTGAAAATTAAGCACGTAAAGGCAGAAAAAATAAAATAAAAAAAGGACTGACTGGCTTTGGAACACCACACAAAAATAGACTAGGAAGTAACAAATGAATTCCACAGAGCAGAATACCTAATATTGAAATGACTGGAAAGCATTTATGAAAATCAAGATAAAAACTAACACAGTCTGAAAAAGACTCCAGTCTGAAAAGACACACACAGTAGGAGTTGAAATGATATGAACAGAAACATAACTACCACAAAGGAGAGCCAAGATTATACAGAAAAAAAAGGGTTTCATCATTCAAAGGGAAAAGCTCTTTGACCAGCAGTGTGCTGGATGGTAGAGGTGATAATATCAGGTCTTATACTACTTACTATCAATTTATAACTGGATTCTAAAAACAATTAACCAATAACTTTAAAAGTAAATACAGCACATTCTGTGGGACTCTCTTTTCCCATACATAAGTCATGACGTATCCATTACACAGTTAGAAGCTACAAAACTTAGGAATAATAGACTCCGAAGCTGGAATCCTGGTCTGCTGACACTAATGGCAAAATTCCCATTGACTTCAGTGAAGGCAATACCTTCCCTAATGCATAGTATCACACTACTTCAGCTACAAAACCAGTTCTTCTATATATACTATCCCAATTACATGGTAATTCCAACTATGATTACTACATAAACTACAGCTTGTAAATTGCTATTACAGTTAGGTCATTTTTTCTGTCCAGTGATGCTCATAGCACACTAAATATAAGACACTCAGCCAAAAAAATTAGAACTGTTCTCTGCAGATAGAATGTTTGGTACTGCTCTTCCTCAAATTGAAAAACGAACACAGTCAAGTCAAAAAGGTACATATTGAGCAATTAAAGCAGACATGGGTAAGAATAATAAAGCTAAACAAGTCAAAGTAATACTGTTCGGCTTTTTCAAATATTGCCCTTTGCATGCACCCTTTTATATTTCTGCATTTTCTTCAATTAAATGAACAATGTTTCCATAGTCTAAATGTATATATATGCTGAAAGTATACAGTCTTTTGAGTAAAACTGATCTGAACTATATTAATCCTATGGACTTTTGAAAATACTACCAGTCACTTCCTAGATATTATTATTCACATAATGAACTCACTTAAGAAAAACCTAATAAAACAGAAGTTATTTAAGTTTGAAGGATCAAATAAAGTACTGCACAAGGAGGAATCAAAAAGCAAAGCAAAGGAAGGAAAAATAATTTAAAAAAAAAATCATCTGCATGCTTTTTCTAATGGAGAAGTTGAGGACCTAAAGGCTAGGCTCTTTGTTTTCTCAGAGATACTGTATGAACCTATTTAATACATTCCATATTCTTAAAATGGCCTTGAAGTCCACAAAGTTCATTTACTTGGATATAATGAATATAGCATAGTGAGCATCAGAATTTTTCTGCAAAGCTCCACAGAGGAAGAGCACAACACAGTAAGGTAATGGATCCTCATGCTTTCATATGTTACAGCGGGCATTTTAAAAAAGAACTTACTGGATTGTACATCTGATTGAACAACTGTTCAGCTTGCTACATTGCAAAGTTGGAAGGGAGTGAAGCACAGACAGGAAAAGAAGGAAAGATCCAGGAAAACAGCATTAGCTCAACAAAACCAGTGCATTTGCACAGAACTTGTTATAAAAAAGTAGAAATTTAAGATTCTAAACATTCCTTGGTGAAAGTGAGAGGCACTGGGGAAACATAAATGTTGACTTTGGCTCCTAGAAAAGAATAGCTGGAGTAAGAAATTTAAGGTTTGTGTTACTTTCCCTTTCTCAAGTTAAATAACCCATGAAATAAAGAAAGGTGTCCACTTTTGATGATACATTAAGTGCTGGTCACAAGCAATGAATCACGAGAAGTGCTTTTGGCTGAGGCTGCAATTTATCACCAAAGCTTCAAAGACGGTAATAATAAAAGATTAATTAAATTGTATCATTACATTTATTACTTTCTTTTTGTTTAATACTGGACTGAATTTTCTATGCAGAATGACTTTTGAACAGTACAGTTTGGCAAAACGTACTTTAGCAACTGCAAATATGTCAGTAAGCAAGTAAATTTAAGATAATGAAAAAACAACAAAAGGAGTAAATTCTGGAGTGGATAATAAGATTATATATATTCACACACATATATATACAAAAAACACTTAGCTACCTATTAAGTAATCCCTGCTGTTCTTTCACTAGTAGCAATACAAAGTAAGTCAATAAAAAGTCTGTGGAATTTTGGCAAAAAAAAAAAAGCATTGAGCATTCTTCTGGGTTTCAGGACTTTTTTTTTTTTAATTTTATGAATTACAATCCAGAATCTTTGACACAAAAATTTTAATAAGCATGTCTATAGTTTTAAACATTATTTTGTGTATCAAAATATAGCACAGTCACATGAATAATTACTCTTCACAAATATCCTATTTATTACTTTTTGAAAATTAAAACAGTGATTTTAGAATCAGCGTGATTTCACCTGCTGAAATGCAAACAATCCAGTTACGTAATACTGAAAAATATTTGGATCTAATCAGATCCATACAAAACCTTCTTTATTATCAATGGATTAATCTTATTCTCTCCAAAAACAGGAAGGAGAGGCAACAAGGGAAGGGAAACTAAAAAAAAAAAAATTTTTTTAGTTTACAGATTTTGTTTGTACTTGCCCCTTGTACAGGTTTTCTCTCATGCATAGTACTTATTGGTATCAGTGCTCATGGAAAACTAACTCCTAACAAATGTGCACAGAATACTATCTCCCCTTTTATTAACATAATTTGTTAAAGCATATAAATCAACATTAAACTATAATGATTTCATCATAATAAAAAGTGCTTTTTCTATGATATTTTTGAGGGAGGAATACTGTGTAAGCTGCATTCAGCTGTCTCAAAGTTAGAGACAGCCCCGTGGAGCCACTTTTGAAAGAGACATGTAAACTGTGCGCTTTCCTTCTAGCTTCTGTAGTGGATAATGTTCATACATAAGCACACTTATGGGACTCGCAGGTTAATTTACTGAAAACTATGTTGATGTTCCCTCCTACTCTAACTCAGACATAGGCAAGAATAACCCAGATTTCTGTTTCAGTTAGTTTCCTAAGGAGTGAAAACATGGTGAAGGTAGTTTTCTGGAGACCAATTATTTTTAACACAGGATATTCACGGGTTTGGACATAAAGTATTTTATTAGAGAAAATGTGAATTGAAAATTACTGTTTGGAGTCTACTATCATTAACAGTCACTGTTTCTGTTCAACTAAACATGCCCACAGAGAAGGTTGTAACTATATTTTATTGTGGAAGTACCTGGTCTCCTACAAACGTTGGGCGAATTTCCATTGGGACTTTATGCCGTATTTATGATATAATAAAATGATTATGTTTTCAACCTTCATTTAATAATCCTTTGTATTTATACACAGAGAACATACTCCCTTTTTATACGAAAGACGTCTCGGTCACTCTCTGACTTTTATAAGTGCTTATTTCTCCGTGACTGTAAGATGTGTTTATAGGTACAGTCAGAAAAGACTAAGTTAGGATTTCAAGACCTTCAAGAGCATTTTGATCATTTTTTTTTTCAAGTGATCTGTGCTTTTAGGTGGTGGGTTTTTTTTTAAATTAAATTAAGAAAATAATTATTTCAGATTGTAATGAAGTATATTTTGTGGTGAAGTGCAAAGCAAACACACACATTTTCTAACAAAAGAAAACAAAATAAAGGACTTCCACAGAAATAGCCTGTTTTGATATTTTAATTCTGACATCAATAGCATTTATGAGCTATCAAACATTTAAAGTAGTTGTGTTTCCATTAAAAGTTTTTGTATATGTTTATTGAAAAAGATTCCCTTCCTCTCCACAATTAAACAGGCAATGCAGGCACCTAATTGCAGATACCCATTTTGAATCAAAAAATAGTATAGGTTTATGTTCTTGCATCCTTTATACTTTGCAATACCTTCTTCACAGGTAAGACTACTGAAACAATGCTTAAACACAGCAGGATACTACTCAACCTGGGTAAAAAGTGTGTCAGAATACTATCCTAACAGTGGTTACATTCATAGAATAAATAAATATTTTTTCTAGAAAATTAAACATTAGATATCAATATAAAAAAAAAAAAACATGTTAGACATACACTTAGTCATGAATTGCAGAAGGCAAACAATGCCTAAACCCATCAAATATGTCATGAGATTGGTGTTCAAACAATGACAGCAGACATTACCAAATGACACAGAAAAAGGTCAAAGAAACCATGTATGATAGAAAAGGCATCAAAAACTTGCAAATCATTTAAGCAAAAACTATTTTAATGCATCAATTTAAATAAAACCATGTTATAAAATATAGCATTTGTATGGTTTCCTTTAAATGCTTGCTTCCACTACTTGCTGAATAGAAATAATGCATAGCTAGGAATTCAGTATTTTGCTTAGTTATCACAAATATTCGTCCACCAACAAAGCTGAAAAAACGTTCAAAATAAAACCTAGCTAGAGTTTCCACTGTGGAAGCAGAAATTTTTTGATTAGGAACTACAGCATTTCTTGCATGAGTCTTTAATTTTTTCCCATGCTACACACATTTCAGTCTACTTCTAATAGCGGTATTAATTCATATACATACATATTGCTGGTTTGATAATTTCTTTCTGCGCCCTTCTACTTTTCCTCCAATGTCCTGATCCCAGTTCATCTATTTGTAACAGCTTCTCAGAATTCCCTCACATAGGTATTGAAGATAATTTCTGAGGCTCACTAGTGGGTTTGGTACAAGCCTCAAAAAGCAGTGTTTGATGCAAGCATCAGCAAACAGCATAAGATGGGTAGATTTTACATCTACTCCAGAAGAGTAAAGAAGTTAATCTTTTCAAAATAAGGCGATGGGATGTTGATTTTTGTTTTTCTGATTGTTGTTTGTTTGTTTGAAGATGGAACTTACCTTTTTCAACTGTGCTTCCAACTTACTACACTCTTCTTTCTTTTGTTCTATGGCTATTTCTAAAGACTTAAGTTTGGAGTCTCTTTTCAGCCCTGCTGATGCCAATGAAGATGCATGTTCTTTGAGATCGATTAAACTAGACTGAAAAATGACCAAGAGTAAAAAGTTAATTCCTAGTCACCAGGAAACCAACTTATTGCCAACTTAGTAAGCACTTGGATCCTGTTCCCCGCCCCTTACCCAAAAAGAGTTGACACAAAGGTAAGCATTGATAGCAAAAGACACCGTCTTGAGAATACAACCAGTTGGAACCACAGGAGCTGGCATGCAGTGAAACATAGAAACATTCATAATACGAACAAGTTGGCGTTATTTTCTGGAAGTACAATTACTTTGAAGTCTATTGCTCTAACTGACAAATGAATACAGGAGCAACAATGGAGAATTTTAGCCTACTGGAAGCTTATGTAAAGGAAAAAGTAGAGATAATGACACACAACTATGGAAAAGTGAAGCAATATTTTATGTACAAAAGTGAGGACTATGAAGAATGCTTAAGAAAATAGCAGCTCAGAAGCTGACCACTGAAGTGGCAGAATTTCAGTACTTAAAATGATTCAAGAGTAATCCTTATGGACTTTCATCATAATGACATAGATAGAACATAGATTTTAGTGAAAAGACTGACCTCTTTTTCTGTCAGTTCAGCTTGTAAAGCATTAACTTTCTCCTTCAGGTCTTTGTTTTCTTTTTTATAAGATTCAATTTCTTCAAGTCTTTCTCTGTCATCTCGCTCCCTTTGCTCCTTCAAGCGCTCTATTATTCTTTCCTAACAAGGGAAATAATTGCAAAATGGAAAAGTTTGGAATCATTTTAAGAAAAGACAGAATAAAATTTCTTTACATTAAGTAGCACTTAGAAAAATCAACCTTCAGAAGCAGAGGATGATTGTGTTAATGGTGTTAAAGTCAATGCAAGATTTCCCCTGATTTCAAAAGCATCAGATCAAGGTTTTAAATACTTGATAACAGTAACATAGTACACAAACTTTGTTAAATGTCTATACTGATTTGAATATGCTTAGCCTTGTGTTAGATATGGAAAGTTATTCATCTCAGTAATGTATTTCTTGTACCCATAAGCAACTGAAGTCTTCAATGAAAGTTCAAAACAGAGAGGTTTACTCAGCTTGACTTTGGTTATATTTTTTGAATGCCATACCCTCTATAGCAGTTGCAAGAAGTTTTCAAGGTTCCAATCTAGTTAGAAATCACTTGCTAACTATCAGTAATTTACAGATTGCATGTATTATATTTTGAGAGGACAGAAAAAAAAAAATCTCCAAGAGACAGAAAAAGTACCCTGATACAAGTTATGATATCCAAAGGAAGATTTTTCTCCATCTAATTAATGGTAACCCTACATACTTTTAAACTCAACTATGTTTTTAAATATTTTGCTGACTTTCAGTTACTGTTATAAGGTTTGCTGAAAATCACCAGTCAAGGATTTGGTGATGAATGAAATGTGAAATGTGAAAAGCAGATGCAGTAGTATGGTTTTGTTAAGCTTTGATTACATTCTTCAAAATCACATTCTACCAATACCTGAAGAATGCAAATATTAATCAGAGAAAAATATTTAAGGTAAAATAAAATAACTACTAAAATTGCATTTGAATTAGGAATAGGTCAATTTAATCAGAATATCAGAGGAACTACAAGTATCATTTGGGAAAGTTAAACCTACACGGGACAGAACTACATCCTGACTGATGAAGTTGTACACTACCAGTGGCGTGGCTCAGGTAGAACCATCAGCATGCTCACAGATCCTATTCAAGTCCTTCTGTACTTACACTTGAAATCTCCAAGGAGGAGTTTAAGAGTGGGATCAATACTCAAAATAGAACTGGACAAGACTGATGGAAGCCTAATATTACTAGAAAGAGAGAAAAATCTCACGCTAATTCCCTCTGTCCATGATTCCTTATACTGCCATTTATATACACACACACTTGAGATATAGACACAGATATATAAACACACACATAAACATATATGGACTACATGTATTTACAGTTTACCTTTGCCCACATCAATATGCTCTCAGCTGTGGTCATTATATCTCAACAAACACCACAATGCATGCAACATGTCAGCAGCTGTACAACCCATATTGATTTGTAATAAACTTAGTCATTATAATGAAAGAAAAAAATAATTCATTATCAAAGTTAGATGAAGTAGTAATAGTGTTTTTAAAAAGTGTATATTGTTCAGACAATCCTAGTTATTAATTCATTTTCTCCATACAGGAGGTATGACGTTCCTCCAAGCCCTGGAAGTTCTTCTGAAGATTGCTTCTGTGCTTTTTAAAGCTCAAGGCGTATTTTGCAAAAAGCCAACAGTCATAAACTGTCAACACTTACACACATAAAAAAGAGCCTAAAATCAAGGCTGTGATTTTCATCCCAGTGGTCTCCAACCCTGGAGATATTCAAAACCCAGCTGGGCAAGATCCTGAGCAAATTGTTCCAGCTGACCCTGCTTTGAGCAACTGGGTTGGGCTAGATAATCTCCAGAGGTCTTTTCCAGTCTCATTGGTTCTGTGGAATAGGCAGAGACATTTTCTAGATGCTGTACCTCAAACACTGGTTGTTTCTCTTCTGCTAAGTCTCTCTCCCCCCATTTTCACAATTCATCCCTTTGTAACAGTGACCACATCAGCAACTCTGCTGACAACTGTCCATTGCTGCTGCTTGTCTGTTCCTCCTTTCATACTGCATAGCAAAGGAACTACTTGCTAGAAAATTGAACACAGAGCGATTTCAGAAGACTGGGAAGTTTTCCATAAGTGTCCCCTTGTATTTTCAGCTTCTATATATCCACTTTCACTAAGCATCTGTTGAAGATCTTCCATTTATCCACTCTATCATTTAAATGCCATATTATCTGCATGTACAGATTTTAAAACTGATAATCAGTTTCTGTAGGAACTGAATGAATATTTTAATATTTTTAATTACTGATTTAAAACTTGGCTACACTTAAATCAATTTTACTTTAATAGATAATGAATATCCTTGAAAATATTTAAACACCAATTAAAGAAATAGAAAAATTCAGCTTCTCATATTGTTCTTTACTTATTTGGAATGTAGACCCCAGTGTAAGTGCAATTAAGCATATTAGAATTTTAATTTAAATCTTAATTTTTATATTTCCTTATTTTTATTTTAAATATTTAAAATTAACTTACTTTTGCATTATGTTTCTATAGCAAACGTAAGCTATGATGCAACACATCTTACTATATAATAAGCTGTTAAAGTCAAGTATCAAAAACACACGTGGGATTGATCTCATAGATGCTTGCTATATGAATAGTCTATTACTGGATGTGAAACTAGGCCTAAGTGCAAAATGTGATATATTTCAAATACGTTCCTTATAGAGCTGTTTCAAACATTTATGTTCCTCTGACTAATTTTTTTCTTTCATTTATGTAATACTGGCTTCCAGCTGTAATAATGCTTCACCAATAGCCAAAATCTTTAAAAATGCATCACATTGAGTATTTTATAATGTATTTAGATGTATTACTAAAATTAATGTTAATTTTTAGAAGGTTTTAAACCATTAAAGATCTTTAATAAGAAATTATATTTAAGTTTGCAAATAAATGTATTTTGAATCTTTTAGACATTGGAAAATAATCATTATATTTTTCAGTATTATATTGAATAATCCTGTAATAAGAATATTGGTATAGTTATTTTTTGCTACCCAGTTCATAAGAAAAACCTTTTCAAAGGGCTGGAAGTTCATAGTGCTACTTTCATTTTGCATCTAGCATTCCCCTGACATCAGTGACTCCCTTTTACAACCTAGCTAACTGAACATACATATTATCAAATAAGCGTTACTGTAAGAATCATTACAGAAAACAGTGTTCACTACTTTCTCAAACTTGTATCCCCACTTATTTCATTTAAAAAGAAATACACATTGATGACATACTACGTTCCACTTAGCATATAGGAAAAAGAGATACGGTCAAAACTAAAGGTAGCAGGCTATCCGTAACTAAATCTGCTTCCCAGGCAGGATCAGCTGTCTATGCACTGAGACCCCTGGCACTGTAGATGTTCCTGACGCCTGGTTTCATTCAGCTCAATGGCAAAATTCTCCCTTTGACTCATATCTGGCAGGATTTCAGGTAGAAATGTGTTCATACAGAATGAGGGTCCTTCAACAGCAAGTGCTGAGTATTACACAAATGACAAACCAGCTAATGTACTAGGTTTTTGATTTTTTTTTTAATTTTACTGTTAGCTGGCTTTTGCTAGATAGATCGGGCAAGAAAGGGGTGATATAGGATACTAAATAGCTTGAAGTTCATTCCAGTAACAAATATATAAATTCTTAATCCCTTGTATATTAAACATTAAAATGCCAGCCTCCATTAAGTGGAGTAGTTTAATAACCATTCAGAATCCACCTAGTTATATTCAGACTTAGTTTTATACCAATTCATTCTTGAAGATTTATTTACCCAAATGATTTTTTTCTTCTATGACAATCAAACATAACACTATTTCAGCTTATTAATGAACAGCATAAATTTTTTCTCAGTCAGTCACAAAAGACGACTAATTTATCTGTCAGCTGCATAAGGCTAAATGTCAAAAACGTGTTAAAAGGCCCTAATATACCATGTTTTACTTGATTAACAGCTAACTTGCAGAAGTTCCAACAATGTGTGCTTGTTTCAGTCTTATTTGCATTGGCAAGCTTTCCTTATGCACTAATCTAGGACCTCACAGGTCTAATCTATTTGCACTTTATCACAGAAGCAGAAACTGAATTGCCACAGCATATAGCTATATTATCAGACATGCTCAATTGCTTATCTGCTGTAAGCTGCTACAGTAGGCCCAACTTTATAAATATCAGCTTCATGAAAGCAACCTCTTGAGCTGCTTTGGGCCAGTCCAAGAGCTGAGATATTCTTTGAAAAGTTTCTTGTTAAAACATCAAGGAAGCTGATAGCACTTCCGCATATTCCGATTTCAATTTTTTTTTTTTTTTAATAGGAGAAAACTTATTTTTCATTTATTGCAACGTAACCTTTATTGTTGTCAAGAATATTCAGTGGTTAGGAGAGGCTCCAAACTCAGGAGTAAAGAAGTGAATTAATACCTTTTTCAGTTTAGCTCTAAAACACACTCAAAAGTGACTGAGTTGTGCTGATTTGTTTCCAATTCCTGATAAAAGAACAAATTATATCAGCAACATTGCTGGAAAATACAAGGGTTAAAAGGAGTGCATTTCAGGAAATTTTGATGTCGCTTTATGATGTCTACAGTAATTTCTCATTTAGTGTTCCCATGCTACCCAATCACCTAATATGAAAGAAAGAAAATCAGAGACAGATACTTGGAAAAATCTATTTTCATGAAGAATAAAGAGCCATATTTTCTAATTCAGAGCCAAAAAAAATCTCAATCTGATTATTTTCAAGAACAATGCACTAAAAATACAAATGCTCAAACATTTGAGTTTTGGACTTTAAAATTAGCTTCATAATTCATTCACACTATATGATCATGTTTCAATTTTATTTTCTTCCCATAGAAACTAAGAAAAGCAACTAAATTCAATTTTAGTGAACTGTGGTTAACAAAACTGATATAAATAAATTTTATTTCTATTTTAAAGGAGCTTCTCATCATGCTTTTGGAGTATTTTCTTCATTATTTTATAAAGTAAAATTCTAAAAACTACTGAATTAACAAAGAATTAAGGTAAAGCCAAAAATTGTGCCTAATCTCAGAGTAAAAAACAAGATGATATAGCCACAAAGTACATCTGCAAAGATATAGCTGCAAATGTCTGATACAACTTCTAGGAAAAACAAACAAACCAAAAAACCCCAAGCAATCAATTTCCATGGAGATAAGGTATTCTTGAATGAAAGCAGCATCCTTTCTTGGCAGCACTACAAATTGAAATTAAAAGTATTTATATTGATGCACTTGTTAACAAGAAACCATCACTAAGAGTTCTTGTTTTGTCCCATTCAAAAATCTATTTCATATTTCTACCAGTATTTGCAGTGGTAAAAGTTAATAACTATTGATAAAGTCTGTAGTCTTAAGAAAACTACTGCAGACAGGAATAGGGATAAGAAAGGTTACTCACTGAGAGCAGCTAGGATGAGTTGGAAAGCTGGACACATACAGGAACAAGACACATATAAACATAAACTGTCAAGGTATTTAGCTGCCAGAAGACATAAAATAGCTAGACATAATAGTTCATTTGGAACTTCTGGCTTCTTTCAAGTATGCCCCAGAGACTACACTTACGATTGAGTAACCTACCCTTGAAGGTGTGGTCTTCAAGAAACAAAATGGGAAAGAATGGGCGTGATTTCTCCATACAAGAATCAAAACTGTACAGAGATGCTTCCTCGTCATTGTGTCTAATGCTCTAAGATCAAGTACCCTGTTTCTCAAAAGCTCATATTAATTCTACTCTGCAGTGTTGCTTTTCTCCTTCCTTTTTTTTTGGGGGGGTACACAAATCATTCCTCAACTGTAAAAACATTTCCCAGTATCACACAACGACTGGTCACACATTAAAAGTTATAAAGCTCATTTGTAGAAAAAGGCTATTCTTTTATAATTCTGTGTATATTTTCCTTAGATTAACAAAATACAATTTCTGAAGTAATATAGAACGATAAGCTTATCACTAACACACAGAGAACTTCCCTTTATACACTGCCATCTAACATTTATAAGTAACAATCTCTCCATAAGTGATTTAAACAGTCACCAGAAACCACAGCACAGCTCAGCTTCATGCCACTTCTCAAAAGCACTGGCTTACAAAATACACCATCAGCTGCAAAAAGACAGAGATCTCCGTGGCAGAGGAAAACATCCCATGGTACTCATTGTATATGGGCCCCGGAGTAGCTTGCAAACACTGCAGGAAAGATGGCATTCTCAGCTGCCGGTATGTAACCAAAGTACTTTGTACAGAATTCAACCTTAGGGACCTCATGGGAGGTCTAATCAATTCCACTTGGAAAAACCACTAATCAAACTGATTCTTTTAAGAAGTGTCTACTCATATACATCCATGCAACTCCAAATGAAGCAGATTTGAATTGAAAAAATGCACTTCAGAGAAGGATCTAAGTTTATCTATTTTTTCCAAAACATTAAAACCAGCATAATTTATTGGACTTTGAACCTTTATTAGAGCAATCAAATACAGCTTGACACAAAATTTCCATACCATCAGGGTCTCTACTGTTGTCACATTTCAAGTTATCATATACACAAAAAAATTCTATAGCACAATTTTTAAACAAACTCTGGGACAAATCCTCACTACGCTATTCAAAAGTAATGCATCCCGAGTGTCATAAAATGTTACAATTTGTATGTCTGATAAGAATAGAATATTTTCTTTTCAGATACATACAAAACGTATTCAAAATTATAAAAACTTTTACAGCCACTGAAGTAATAATAATGCCAACTTTTCTCATTGACCAAGCAAATGTTAGTAAGGTGATTAAACATACAAAAGAAATCAAAAATCCAACATTAACATTTTAGGTGTTAGTACCAACACCACAGCGTCATTTTAAAGTCATGTACTGTCATAAATACTTTCATAGGATTACATTCTGCAGAATGGCACATAATACTTTAATTAGTTGCACTCACCTGTGCACATTTAAGAGGTACATATTAAGATCTGTGAGCAGCAAAAAAGAGTACACTTGTACTAATTTTTTTGGCATACAAATTCACTTGTATTATCTCGTATTCACTGGAATATATGTGTGTGTGTGTATATATATATATATACACACATATAAACTGGAAGAAAAACCCTGACCTTGCAGAAACTGGTAGGAATGTGACCAGTAACTTAAACACTCCAGGTGCACCCCTTCTGCTATGTATTTTCAAATTAAAGGTATAAGCTTTTAAAGAAAAAAAAAAAAGTAATTCTCCATTTGTTTTTTAATGAAATACAGTTTCTTTTATAAATTAAGAGCAGAAAACCAACCGTGCTAACAGCAAGCCAAGGTAACAGTTGGTACAGTCACTTGCTGTTGGCTCTCCAGTTTGACTCTGCTTAACAGACAAAAGAACAGGATAATCAAGATCACAAAGCTGCAAAAATACCCCAAACTCTACCTTCTTTAAGTCAGGTGTCCATGGCTTTCAGTTCTTTCAGGGAACAACCACTCATTCCATTGACTAAGGGAAAATCTTCCCATGACCTGGGCCATTTACTTGCCCCATTTGAAAGGACAACCTTCTTTACCTCAGAGTCCTGTTCCAGTTTGTCAGCCAGGAAGCACTCGTTGCTCATCCTACCAGAACACAGCCACCTGCTTTCCTGACAAGGCCCATAGGCTTTGTTACAGGTGCCAGACCAGCTCAAAAAGACTTTCTCTGGACACGCTTCACCCACAAGAGCTGCACATAATGCTGTTCCATGAAAAAACATTACCTTTTCTGACAGAGCTTCTTCTAAGGTTGCTAGTGCTGTGTCTGTGTTACTAGAATCCGTCTGCAATGACTTCACTCTGTCTTTTAGATTAGTTAGTTGTTTGTCTTTGTCCCTAAGTTGCTCCTGTAGATTTTCAATCTGAAAATAAAACCAGAAGATAATATTAATCAACTTGTCTTCACATTCAAAGAAGGACTTGGGTGCTATGATCAACTGAATGTATACATACCAACAGATGAGACATGTGCCTCAGTGTACTGTCATGTTTTTACATGGTATAATATCAATAGGTTTTAATTTCTGTATTTTCTATTTTGTTTCCCTTTGCTAAAAAGTATCATTTTCTAATAAAGTATAGGCAAAATCTCAGTGCAGTCAGGTATTTTATTTTTTAAATATTTTCTGATATTAATCACTTCAGTTTAAGGTACCGCATTATCTCAGTAATTCAAAGTATGTGTGGAATTACTGCTTTAGATTATTCTAGTTGCAATAAGAAGGAAAAAGAAAGGGAGAGGCAAAGCGAGTTCAGTGAGCCCTAAACTGAGGAAGAAAGATCATAACCTACCTGTCTAAAAACCTCTTCTTCCACAATGCCCTAGCTGTAAAGAAAACTCACCTGGACAAATCCGGATGTTTACATTTCAAAAAGCCAAACCCAGAAACAAAATAAAACCCCAAAGGCCACCATTTCCATTCACTTTCTTCATCTCCATGAAGATTTAAGGTATGTCACTCTATTTTGGATATTAAAATGGCTTTAAACAGGTCTAGTTCTTTAGTAAGTACTTAAACGTACTGCTAAGGTACCTATAAACACACCAATTTGTTAAACAGGTGATGATTTGCAATGGTCAAGTCAGAAAGGTTTTGCACAAAAAATCGTCCACAGCACCATGTGGATTTTGGAAGCAAATCTGCAAAAAAGCACTCAGCTTCTGATTGCCATGGCAATCATCTTCTGTGGCTATAAGACACTATGACCTTCTGGGTATAATGCAGAGAGAACATGATACGTCATATGTGTAAAATTTTATTAATTATCAGAAGAATCAACTTCCCTTCATCCTATGCATCCAGTGCCACTCACTGTTATGGCACTGGCATAAAACCAAAATTTGTTCCATAATACTTAGCACAAATAAATAGTAACAGGAAAATTAACTAGTCTATTATTTTAGTATGCTATTTTATATAATATGACAAAATATGCCTAAATCCATAAGGTATCATTTGTTCAAAACTGGTTTTAAATATGCTGTTACAATTAGACAAATTATTAGTGTCAACAGAGACTCAAATTCTTACTTTCATCTGTGATTTTACACTTTGGATCATGTTCTATTGCTACTGAAATGAATGAAGCTTTACTGTTCATTTCATACATAATGTAAATTTTCTCATGGCCAATATCATTTCCATTTAAAGCAATTCAGATCTTAACAGAAGCAGGCTCATTCATAATTACTGCTAAAGTGTATTTAAAGATTCTTTTACAAACCTAAAGCTGAATTCAATATATGTGCAGATCTGCAGCAGTCAAAAGTTATATCAATAAAACTTTGGTCTCCATATGCAAAAATGTATCACCATAATTAAACACACTTCAGTTTGGGGCATATTTTGGTAAAAATTCTCCTACTACTATGTTACACGTGTTCAGGAAAAAAAGCCTGAAGTTAAGTTTTGACATCATATGTGTCTATAATGAACAAATTGTAAAATCCACAGTACAGCTGTATGCACTGTATAAAGTTTGTTTAAATAAATTTAAATCTTAAAAGAACTTAAATAAAAATTCAAATAAAAGCAAAATAAAATTTAAAAGTAAATTTGGAGGAGCACATCCCAATTAGAAATTTTTTATAACAGTATGGCAAACACAACTATTGCAACTTTTTTCTTTTTTTAATATACATAGTTTGGTATGTCAGATTACTGCTAAGGGCCAAAGATTCCACTTGCTCTGTAAACTATAAAATACTAACGTATATATAGAAAGGTTTTTTGGGAAGACCTGACATAGAATAGCTCACTCTTGCAAACGACCTCTCATAATATTTCTTTTCGTGTGTGTATTTTATACAGATACAGAAATAAGATACATGTGTTAATGAGTTAAGAACTTTTCATTTTATAGCATGTGTATTAGTCACATCTAAAATTACATTAACTGGCATTCAGAGGACTACACACTATGTTTCTTTCTTTACTCTCATCCAAGTACTCATGATTCCAACAACTACCTCATGACACCCTGTGGAATACTTACGCAATTGCACATTTCAGCCTCACCAAAATAAATTCTCAAGCAAAAAAGGAAATAAAACAAGAGAGTGAATATTGATTACATGTTCTTTGAAACAAAGTTAAGGTCTGGTCCTTTATTATCATCAGCTTGACCTACCAGTTCTAGGCACCCTAAATTAAAGTATTTATTTCCTATGCATAGTGCTTATCTGAATTCCACAGCATTTACACTATTTCCTTCCTCTTAAAACTAATTTAAAATATGATCCAACCCTTAACGAAGAAAACATGTTCTAAAATTATTCAGCATTTACAAAATTCTTTCCTCAGAGGTAAAGAGAACAGGCAACAAATTAAAAACATCCCCATTGAATCATAACTGCTTTAAAAGAAGTCATTCGATAAGTAGTCCATAGAAAAAATAAGAGGAAAGGATCTGATTATTCTTCTATTTGTGCTATATAAATCTGAAAGAAATAACTTGATGGGAACAGGACCACACTGGGGTATGTGAAAGTAGAATCAGTACCACAGAGTATTTGGGTTTTTTGTTGGGATGGGCACGGATTAGTAAAAGATCTGCTAATGCAGACAAGATTTTATGACTAGTTAATCACAAAAGAGTTCTCTCAAAAAGGTTACTGGAGACAAAGAGATTGAGCAGTCACACATGCTGAAATCTTGGAACACCAGATAGGATTTAGTTCTTCCTTGGTTTTTTAAACCCAGAAAGAACAACGATTCCTCTGGTAACCTCTATCATTCTCCAACATATATTTGAGTATGGGTATATATGTAAGGATACCATTTTATTGCTGAATAATGACTTACTTTTGAGCATGCCTGAATTTAATTTAGGACAGGAACTATCAAGACGTTCTTAATCCCTCAAGCACTCATATTTTTATCTGAGAGAAAATCAGTTACTGTGTAATTTTGTCAGCATGTAATTCTTACCCCTGTAAACAGCTATGTCCCTGTGCCGTGAGTTGTATGAAAAGAAACTGCTCCATTCTTTCTGTGTTTCAGAAAGTGTGTCTATTCCCAGAATTTAAGAGAGACTTTATTCCTTTTTTAAAAACAATACCCTTACAGATAAAGTCTTTCTTATGAGGCATCCTGAGTCAATAAACTGCAAGTGCTAATCTTGTCACTTTTTGGCAACAGTCTCAGGAATGGTTCCTAAATACCCAAGGGATTAAACTAAATCTCACCCGCAGACAGGCTTTAAAATTCTACAGTAGCCCAAGTTCTCAAAAGAAAATTACTTTCATTATCAAAATTAAGGTACTGTACTATGGAATTTGCAAGAAAACTACATAATGAAATAAAATGTTCCATGCTATAACAATTTGCCTTTAGAGATATGCATTAAAGTATAGGAGTTTAAGACAGTATAAGAGAGAATTTATCAGAGACTTCCTAGGCCTAGCTAGTGAAACCGTAAAGCCATACAGTCAAACTTAGCTCCATATATTTTCCTCCCTGCTCTGTATTTGAGTTTTAAACAACTCAGACAAGTATTTTGTAACAATGGCTTTTTTAATCCTAAAAATTCATTTTGCTCTATTCCAAATTTACCTAGACAGAACTCTTAATATTTGTTTCATATTAAAGCACAGGTCATGTCTGTTCCAGTGAAATAGATCAATAATAAAAGATTAGTTTAATTTAAATTTAAAATTGAAACACAGGGTAGGAAACAGATCTTTTGTCTATATCATTTTCATTATTTACTAAAAAAATATAAATCTTACTATTTTAGGAAAACAAGTTCTGCTGAAAAATTTCCCAAGTACCAATACACTCTACTTTAAACAGTTAACGGAATTATAAGAAAACGAGATTTAATAAACAACAGCATTGATCCAACATAAGCATTAACTACGACTACTTTAAACCTTAGTATTCATTCTCAGACTTTAGCTGCTGCCTCATAGACATAGATAACAAAAGTCAAAAAAAAAAAGGTAACTATTAATCAAACAGAAAAAATAGTTAGGTATAGTTCAAACGCAAATACTCTAAATGTCTACTTATACACAGTTTGTTTTCATTAGTAAGACTCATGATAAATGTTCTGTCTCATATAGGTCTTTTCAGAAACATCTCAGTATATCCCAGAACATGACACCAGCTTTGGTAGTGACTCAGTAAAATAGATGTATCTACAGATGTTCCTAACATCTCTGTTTGTTTACATGTGCATGAATAATTTGCAATAAAATACCCAGAAAAAAATGAAATTACATGTCTATACCATGAGTGTAAAAATATTACTACCTGAAACTGTAATATACAGAGGTATAGTTTTTGGAAAGCACTATATCTTTTTAGCCAGAAATTTTTACAATGTACAGTTATTAAATATCAAGTCAGTCAAAGTATTTTAAAATTAACAGGCTTACAGCAGCTATTTGAAGTTTCAGCCTATGGGGAAAGAAGGAGAAGCTGTGGCTTCATAGCTTTCCACTAACATTCATGATAGGACCTAAATACATTTTTCAGTTTAAGTAGGATTTCAGTCAACAAAATAAGCTCATTGAAGGGCAACCTATGCTTCAACCATTTGACATTGCAGAATTGTCTTTTATTTTGAAAAAGAACAGCCCCAAAGGTACTTCATCATTCAATACCACTAATTTTCACTTTGTTTTTCTTCCTATTATAGTTAGACAGACAAGCATTTATTAGGAATACTTTTTCAGAAGTCAAAATACATACATCTAAACTTGAAAAATTAAATGTTATATAATGATATACTATAAAACTCTTTAAAATATTATAAAATGTGGTTTTGCTGCTTGCAACTGAACATATTTATTAAAGTGTAAGATCTGCACTAATCTTTGGCTTTACTAAGGTAATTGGAAAAAAGCTTGCTAATC